GGAAGCGTGGTGTCCCGGTATGTAAGTGTGTCTGGTCTGAGCTTCTATGCTACGGCAACAATACCTGTTAAGTAGCTTGTCAAAAGTTAATACATACTCTCCCATTACCGCAAATTTCATGGAGCATGGGTTAAATTTCGGGCACAAAGAAGCAGTTAATAACTCTTTCGGAACTAAAAGAAAAGCATGCAAAAGTCGCTGAAAACTTTTTTTCTGTCAATTTTTATAGTTTTTGTTTTTTCTCAAATGAAATCGTATCATTCTTTCTATTCACTGGAGTTCTTTTACTTCACTAATCGTGCAAGAAAAGATAGCTTAAAGGTGGCTTCACGGCATGGCAATATAAAGAAAAATGCTAATAAAGGAAAGTCATGACACAAATGTCCCAAGTGAGGCTATGTAGTGTCAAGAAACAAAAGTATGACGAGTACCGTCCTTATTGCTTTTGCGTGAGACCACTTGTTGGGGATGATTGGCCATTTTGTTATAAAATATCATGACTTTACTCATTGATGGTCACGAGAGTGTGAAACTTGGCTCATCATTCATGAAGTGAGACCCTGATAATTTTGTCGACAAAACATGACAACAGGCAGTTCTCCGCACAGCAAACCTCTTGTTTGTACAGAAAGCTTAGACATGATCAGAATAGTTATTTTGAATAGTTTATGATGAAGTACATAAAAGAGGTAGGCAGGTTGTGTGTGCTTCCAGTATATTGTAACTAATGCCTCTGGGAAGGCCAGAGTCGCTTACATTTGTGAAGTCAATATTTTTTTTGTGACCCGAGCTGCCAAGAAACTTGAGACTGTCTGCAGAAAAGCGAAGTGCAGTGGCCTCATTTTTTTTAATTTTAGGTAGGTGTTCTGGTTACCAGCACTGGAGTTCGTGCTGACACGTTGCGCTGCCTTGGCGGCCTTGTTGCGATACGGCTAGTAGGACGGTGATGGCTACCGCGGCTGAATGCGGGGAAGTGCGCCCCCCCCCCCCCCCCCCAAAATGCGGAAAACAAAGGTACTAGTGACGTACAGCGCCACACAGAAAAGGCGTATCACCCAAACATCTTTTACTCATTCCCGCCGAGGCCATACGAGAAACAGCGGGGACAACGCTGGATCTGTAGAACACAACAAAACTTTGGTATGTCACATAAAGGCTTTGGTATGTCAAATCGTGCTTCGAATTGTGCATTTAATTTCCATAAAATGTCACATACATGGTTCTAAACATGTAAGCAAGAAGGCAATACTGAAACGGATCAAGTAAGCAAAGCCATTCACCACCTTTTGCGCACATAGTATCTTGCAAACGCAAGGCACAAGAGCCTTTTATGCCTAGCTCCAAAAAGATTCTCAATGAGCTTCTTTACTAACGTGTCAGGTTTAGACGGCCGACCTGAAGCTTCTAATCGGTCTGTTGATGACGGCCAGTCGGCATAATTTACCCAAAGTACGTCTCTGCGATGTGTGCGATTTCCCCTCGCGCTAACCTTGCGAGTCCGGTTAGACGTGGACACCTCCCACTACGCTGTCAGCTACGAAGATGAATACTGATTGGATGGACACGGTTCGAAGCACCACATCGCAAAACAAAACGGCTTCTTACCTGCACCCGCTACGAGAGCTGTAGCCACCTGTTTGTTATCTGCTGTTAGTACTTATACAAACGGTGCACGTGTGCCTAGAATAAATAGGTGTAGCCTGTTGTTTTTCTCGCATCTTTGTACGAATAAGATACAGTTCCTTTCTATGCTTAATTAATATATTCCATATTGAGTGTTTACACTTATCTCACTTATTTTTCCCTTATTTATTCTGATGATTTATTACATGTTTTATCTGATATGTTTCTATTCAGCAAGCGTGTATATCAAGATAAGGTGGCACATGTGCCTTTATTCGCAATTTTGGTTTCCGGCCTCTATCAAGCTGCAGACCGCAGCTTTTAGCCCTGAAATCTATTCCGAATGTATTTGAAAAATTAAAAAAATTTGAATACAATGTTTGTAATACCAAGATGAAAAGCGCAATTGAATCAAATCTGTATTTCACACATGTGTAAATATAAATGTGGCTGCGGAGAAGGGAAAAAAAGCCGCTCAGGTGCGGCTTGACGTAGCTCCTTACCTTCCACACATATCGGTATCACACTGTATCTTACGATCAGTGAGTTGACTTATTGTACACCTCTGAGTTGATGAACTACGACAACTTTATCTACTGATTATGCACGAGTGTTCTGCTTCTAACACTGTTCAAAACATTGAAAACAAAAGCGCGAAACGAAATGGCATCTCGCTATGAGTTAAGATGTCATGAAAGCTGTAATTGCAGATTACATAAAAGACGGTCAGATGAGCTTCCACTTGGCCAAATCAGTTAGGTTGAGATAATAATTATCAATGAAAGCAACAAAACAATGTGCAGCAGCACACCAAGCTGAGCTCTTTCATGTACAATTCCAACACACACTTACCTGTACATTTTTGTTGTACGATGCTTGTTAGGCTTGAGAGCGGCATTTGCCTCGGAATGTGAGTTGCTGCAGCAGTTTTCTCCACACCGTAATCATAATTTTCTACGCAGAGCTTACATCCTTTTGGCAGCACACTGCCGCAAAAGTAATCTTTCACGAACACGACACTGCTGAAGCTGTACTGAAAGTTTACCAGTGGCATCACTGCTCGTTCGCTACACCAGTCTGCTCTTCAGTCGCAGCTCCTGATCTGTTGCTAAGAACAATGTGCATAATCATGAAGTTCTGTGCTGTAAATTTTGCAGAAACAAAAAAATCACGGCAGAAGAGGTGACATAGCTCATAACATGTCGTGCATCGGTTCGTAAGCCTTTCAACGGGACCCAGTTGCCCTGTTCTACGAGGACTTTTCAAGCTACTCGTTTGGTGGGGCCACGTGTGAATTTTGGACACGTCACCTGGGCTGGGCTGGTTTTCTATTGCACATACTGCTCCAGCTTGATGATTTATGCTTGAAACGGTGGGACAGCTTCCAAAAAGTTGTTCTGCTGCTTCATAAGCTATGCCGAATAGGCCTCAGTCAATAACGTCACAAGAATAACTTATTTCCAACCATGATCATAAGACCTTTTCCTATGAGCTCCTAAATGTTTCCCATCAGGCATGCAAACTTGCTATGCCACCAAAACCTCCCTTGTAGTGGCCTGCGTGCCCTAAACAGCACAGTAATGAGCCACACATTTCCAGAATGGTAACGAAGAGATGCGATGACTGGTGTTGTTGTCCACTCATATCTCTAAGATATATTTGCGTACAACTCAAATTTTGGTGTTTAGGCATACAATCTTATATATTCTTACGTGCACCCGAAAGTTTCCAGGGATGTGATGATCGCAAGAGCAGTGTTCTTCCTGTCCCTGCTTGCCCTCCCTTTGCTGGCAACTTTGACAAGGAAAGGAACTTGTCCAACTGTCCGGGCACCCTTGTTTGATGAGCGACTTCATGTGCTGAACCAGCAAAAGTATGTGGCAGCCATTAGTTTTCCAAAAGAAAGGGCCAAGTGACATTCACTGGGATAAAAGTGTTGTGGCTGGTTGGAGGTCAAATGAGTTTGACATGAGAGGGCATATGTGGCTGGGAAAAAAAAGTTATTCAAAAGTCACGCATTTCGTGATGCCAGCTAGCAGAAATTGTCTGTTCCACACTTGTCATCATGGTGTGCTGGCTGACCCTTTCAGGTTTAAATGCAGATACAGATGAACCCCTTTATAAGAAGCACTGATGTAAGAGACAAATGAGCATAAGAGACACCCGCGTGCCTGCATCAAAAAGTAGTTCATCAGTAGATGCGTATATGGTACTGTTATGACCGCCCTTCTGGTTTGGCTCTGCTTGAATGCGGGCGACATTGCGGCTGAGCCTACCCTCATTCATTATGGGTCAGCGCTCCCAGAGATGCACCAAGAGTGGCGGCAACACAAAAGTCATTCTTCGAATCATCTAGGGCCATCGGCACCTCTCATAAAATCCTTTGAACACGCCTGAACAACTGATGAATTAGGAAGAGCTGTTGATCGTCAAGGTGACTTGCTTTGTACGTAAAGGTGCCCCAGACAATGAGCCAAGCATCTTAGATTCGCGTTCCTGTGCATTTCCCATGGTCTGCCTGGTGCTGCACACTCTTTACTGCAACGGATTACCAAGTTGATTTGCATGTAGGGCTCAACGTTTTCACGTTGTGTTGTTTCATGCACGTTGTGCAGTGTTTTCTCCCTCGCCATAGGACGAACGGGCGTGCATCTTCCCTCTTTCCTGGGTTGGGAAGGGGGTGGCATTTTATCTTTCCCTTTTGGGGCCAGAGGTGAAGATGACAATTTTCATTGGACTGTCCTGGCTTCTATTGTCTTTTCCTGCAGGGAATCCTGGGATGACCATGGCATGAAACGCAAGCGCCGAGATGCTCCCTAAAAGCTCCCAGAGGCACCTATCAAGCTTCCACCGAAAGCTTCCATGATGCTGCCCCGATCATGTAGTAACAGGCTACCTGTAAATAATTTAAATAAAAATTACTGTTAGCAGCTTTGGGCTTCCCTCCTCAACATCCCCTTGAGACATCGGCTAGCTCCAGTCCTCTGGGTAGACCCCCGACCACATCAGTATCCTGCCTATAAGAGACACTTCATGTAAAAGACAAGAATTGCTCCCTGGTGCATGTCTCTGATTAAGGAGTTCAACTATATATTACGCCATGAAAAGTGGACAGGGGCATGTCGAAGGTCGCGTGTTTGGTCCCTGCCAGTGGAAAGTCATGTTTTCGTGCACTTTAGCTTCCCCACATTTGCGCCATGAATACCACCATCTATACTTTTCTCGGCTTTTTTAGTCCTCATTTTTCAAAAGTTGTGTAGCAAATGCCTTGATGAACCACAATAGTAGGGAGATGGCGCCAGTGTAGTCCAGCTCTACATGGGCATGAGATGTGACTTGCTGGCTCATGACAAGAAGGATGCGGTGTGTTGATGCAGGTGTGGCACCACCGTCGCGTCGTGGTCGAGTGGCTCCAGGATGGCTCTCGGGAGAAGGCCTTCACGGAGGCCATCCTGAACATGGACCCCAAGAACTACCACGCCTGGCAGCACCGCCAGTGGGCCGTGGCCGAGTTTGGGCTGTGGGACCGAGAGCTGGACTTCACCACGCAGCTGCTCAGCAACGACGTGCGCAACAACTCGGCCTGGAACCAGCGCTTCTTTGTCATCAGCCACACGGTAGTATTATAGCGCAGAATAATGCATACCTGCCAAGTCTCCCGGATTGGCCGAGAGACTCCCGGATTTCGGCCGTTTTTTCCGGTTGTACGATTGTCATGAAAATCTCCCGGGAATCGAAATTTCTGTGCCTGATCTGGCTCCATTGACAAAAAAGCAGCCAAATCCGCTCCAGGCTTTTCCAACCTACCCCATTTTATTATAAATGAGTATAAGAGACGTTCATGTAAACGTACAGTATAATCTCAGTGATGCGAAACCACGGCAGATACGAATTATTAAATTCCCCAGCCAAATTTTACTATGTTCATTGGGCCTCAATTCGAATGTTCCGAACACATTTCCTAATCGCGGCGGGTGATACGAACTTTAGTACGGAAACCGTCCAATGAAGGCCGACAGCAGCGCACTCGAGGCTTCGAAAGTACACGTGCGACCGGCGCACTACAGTGCGTGTGATTGTCGTTGCGACAACCGCTGAGAACAAAACCGTGGTCGCTCTTGACAAGATTGTATGGCGACGACGTAACTGAGAGAACCCCGAAAGTGTACGCTCAACCAGTCAAAGCAAGGCTGCTTTCTGCAAACTCTGCGGACAAACCTGCGGCAGATGCTATCGTAGATGGCATAAAACGACTTAGTTTTGAAGGCGCGTGCGTAGCCAAGTGCATGGGGATTGTAAAATGAACTACCGCTTGCTGCAGCCGCTGCACACAAAACCGCGGTCGCGGCGACGCGATAGCGATCTACGAGCTCCGAGGGCATGCAGTGGTAGGTTAAATGCAGTAAATACGTAAACAAATAAAAAAAAAGTTACAGTTTCGTCGTAAGGGCGAAGCAATAAATGCGACAGCAACAACTTGGCATGTAACGCTGAGAACGGCAAGCATATCGAAACGTGCAGCGCGCTGCTCACACACAAATGACGCACGAAAATGATACTCGCAGGACGAGAGAGAACTGACAGCGTTTACCGCTCAACATGAAACGTGCTGTTTAAACAAAAACGATGTACGGTACGTAATCGCAGGTACAGATGAGAACGAACTAACAAGTGTCCCATTTGTTATACCTCACTATGTATGAAAAGCACGCTGTTTTCGCAAAAGGGGCCTGTGCAGAGACAGAAGGGACATTTGTGGACCCAGGAACGAACGCTTTCGTTTCAGTGAAAGCCGAAGGCACACGATTCCTATACCAAAGGATAAGCGCGCGCGCACAGGCATCCATCCATGGGGCAAAGTACACGTGATAGAGAAGTACGTGTCGGCGCATCGTGACGAGCTTGGCGCCGAGCGCGGGCGGCTTTTTGCACGCGACCTTTTGCACGCTGCATTTTCAAGACCCGCATGGGTCTTGAAAATGCAGTGTGCATGCTGTAGTTTGCATAAGGGAGTTTGTGATGTGCCACACCATATTTTCGTCCCCTGAGCTGGGGGTGTATATGCACATGCTCTATATTTATTACTGATGATTTACATGTCACTGAAAAAATCAGCGTTCAGTATGTCTAAGAGGTGACAATGTTATCTATTCAAGCCATGCACGAACATAGAAAACTTTGCATGCCAGTACAAAAGTAATTTCATAAACACATCATTTTATAGAGCTATTCTTTCACCTACCTGTATTGCTAAGTGAGATTCTAAGTCTCCATTTTGATTTCTGAAGGCCCCCGCTCGTAGCCATCCAGTGGCTACGAGCGGGGGCCTTGAACTGGCCTTGAACTGAACTGGCTGGCTAACTGACTGAACTGACTGACTGAACTGACTGACTGAACTGACTGACTGAACTGACTGACTGTGACTGACTGAACTGACTGACTGACAGCTGTCGCGCTTGTCGTTGTTGATTGACCAAGTACTCTGGATGTTAGGTTGAAAAACTGTTTATTGATCAAGCTGACGCGTGCCGACGTATGTTTCTTCCATGACAAACGTATCAAAAAGGAGCACCAGGGCCATCGGGTGAATTTTCTTGTTGTATTTCTTCAGTGGAGGACACGCCCGCCACTTGTAGCGCCACACGCGGTGGTTTAAGGCGTCGTCATCTGGAAACACCTCGTTGTTTGAGAGCACAATGACGGGTGTCCTGGAGATGGTCTGGTCAGCAGTGTACTTGACAGCCACCGAGTCTACGTCACCACCAAAAATTTTTTTGACAGTGTCGAAAGCGGATGACTCACAGTTTGGCTCGTTCCATACCAGGATGCGACGGCCCACAGTGTCCTGTAGTGGAAAGCTAGTGTAGCGGTTAAAGTTGCAAATGGTACTGCGGTTGATGTAAAACGTAAGAACAGGATCGAAAAAAAAGTTTTTGCCTGCACTCGGAGGGGACACAATTTCCGTGCAATTTTTTTTGGGGGATCGCCTTCTCGACCAGGCTGTACAAGTTGTTGACAAAGGCCGACACTTCCTCGTGGATGCTGTGAAACTGAAAGTTTAAAAGTTCCATCACGGCATCAAACGACGCGGGCACATTCATGTAAAAGGTAGCGAGGTCGCCATGTGGGGCGTCAAAGAGTGGCTGCGTGTTCTTGTACATTTCAATGAAGTCGAGGGTGGAGTACGAACACATCTCATCATTAAACACTTGGATGGCTCGTTGAAGGCGCTTGTCGTCCAGGCGAATAAACTGAAAGACCGGGTCCGCCAGCCACTTGGGGGTGTGCACAATGTTGCTCAACGGCGATACGGGGTTTTCGCGTAGCCAGTCGTAGATGGATTCTTCCGACGCTCCTTTTGCACGTTTTCGGCACTTTGTACCCTTTCTTGCGCATACTTTGTCAGCGTCTGCACCGCTCGTCTGACCTCCATGGGCGCCGTCACATGCAACTGAATGCGGAAGTTTCGGGTGCAGTATTTGCAAAACTCGGCCGGGCTCGTGTCCAGGACCTTGGAATTGTCCCAAAACTTTATTTCTAATGTCGCGACCCCAATCGCTTCCTCCCACTTTAAGGTATTTCAACAGTCGGGGCTGACTATTGAGATTGGACGAGATTGTAGAGGCCCCATGCGCTGGCGTTTGTAGACGAAATTGACGAGCGATTTGGTCGTCTGACGAAGCCAGCGAAAATAACACATCGGCATGTGCCGTTGCTCCAGCTGCAGTTGTGTAGGACGTGGACGTGTGGTAGAGAGGTTCCTCGTGTGTGGAGTGCGACGGCTGCGACTCCGTACTGGGTGGGTCCTTGTTCGAATCTTCTGACAATGTCATTACAAATTGTCTGAGCTTCTGCGTCGTCTCGAGCGGGAAACACATCGTGCACAAGCTTTCTTCGTTTTGGAACTGAGTGTAACTGCAATGCCCAGCGTGGAGGGGATTGTAAACTTTTTCCATCTCCTCTAGACCCTGATCCTGGTTCGGGCACGTTTGAATTTGATACTTCTCCCACGTCTCGATCAGACTCCGCAAGTGTCGCCATGGTTTCATTAATGTCATAGGCACGGTTCTCGTGGCTCGAACCAATAAACTCTGTAGTTTGTCCCTGGGAATATAGACGGCGTCACCAAAAAGCACTTCCAATTGGTAATATAGCGGTACCTCGTCTTCTTGTTCATCATGCTGACGTTTACGTGATTCTGCCATGGTCTCTATTCAAAGAGCAAAAAAGCAACAATTCAGGGTATAGTATAATTAAGTAAAAAAAGTGTCTTACCGAAGGCGTCTTTAGTGTCCGCTTGAGGTCCTCCTGAGTGGACAGCCGGTTGGCGACTGCGTTTTTTGAGCTACTAAAGACCCCTTTATATACCTCTCGTGGTGGCCTTGGAAGCCACCGCGCTTGCAGGAAAGTCTTGTGCAACTACTACTTAAGGGGAGATGCTACTCGAAAAACGATTTTCTTTAATAAGAGTCTGAATTTAACACAAATGGGCATGCTAATAGAGCTTTTTCTCCTTTTTTCAAATATGTCATTTATTTTCATGTAGATTGCTTGGTTTTCTTTCTGCAGGTCAGATACTGCAAAATTATGGCCACTGTTATGCAAGAATTCTGACCTATAAAAATTTGAGATAAAGCATGCAGATATAGCTGACTATGATCCTTTGGAACTGTAGAGTGCAAAAAACTATATAAATGTTGTGTGTAAAAAGGTGAAATACAATAATAAAATAGAAAAATTTACTATGACTCTAGTTGCCAAGGGCTTTCAATGTTATGTATTTTTTGAAAAACATAATCAAGCAGCACTGACAATCTGAATAGATACTTGCACTCTATGGGCCTTCATCATGCTATGTGCAAAATTTCATAGAGGTATGACAATTCTAAGTATACGAACTAGCGTGTATAAGAAGCACAGATCACACAAAACTGCAAAAGGAGAAAAACGCATTTGAAAGTTTGAAACCTTTTTTTTTTTTTATCACAGAGTTGTTAGAAATGCATAATCTTTGGCCATAATGTTCAACAGAACTTTGAAAAGCACTGCAAGTTACTAGAACTGTCCTGCAGCATAGGTTGTGCCTTCACGGTCCTTGCGAGCACTTTCTTCTAGCCGTGCCCTTTTCACTCCACGACGACGGTGGGCCCTTGCTTCTGCTGTCAGACGCTCGGACATTCTCTTGATGCGCCTCGCATCGCGGGAATCACTGAAAGTAACTAGATCTCTAGATGGCAGTATGTTGAGCTCTTCCAGGATGTGCTCGAAAGTAGCATGACCCTTGTTGAACCACAGGAGTGCCATAGCTGCGGCAGTCTCGACAACCGTTCGGGAGACAAACTTAGTCTTGGGGCAAAGTAGCCAAATTTTGCTGTTCAGGGATTCCGATGCATTCTGGGTTTTCCCTTTGATGCATCGAGCAAGGAGCTTCTCATCCGTTAGCCGCTTATAAATGGGCGAAACAGCCAATCCCTGTGCTTTTGTCAGGAGAGGTGTGTGGCGTGGTGCAGGTTCACCAAGTGCTTCAGCGCGTTGGTGTTTGCACCACGACTCTGTTCCTGCAGGGCAAAACTTGTGGCTGCCAGCATTGTCAGTAGAGCATGAGTGGAAGTACGAAGCCCATACTGCAGTGTACATATACCGTACACTCCCCCTGTTGCTTGTTATGGCAATCTGATAGTATGTTTGGAGCTTCTGAATGGCTGGCTCTTTCATTTGCTGCCCTCGTAGTAATGGCACATGCAACTTCCGTAGCGCGGTGCCAAGTCTCTTGGCCACATGATTAGTGCAGTCTTCTTTTTCTATATTGACAGCACCATAGACTTTTGACTCTGCAACTGCACTATATGCTTTGCTGTCACCCTCACTCAAGAATGACATGAAATGCAGTAGGGTGTCATAAGTCAATGTTCTCTGCCAAATGCGCATTGCAGCCTCCGTTTCCATGGCATGGGAGGAACAGTCTGCATTTTTTTCACAGACTGGGCCATGGAATGCCTGCCACACTTCCTCGTCTGGGCCCATATCCTTGTGCCTACTGCATGTCAGGCAGTAATTTGATATGACCTCGAAGTCTAAGCAGAGGCCAGTATCTAAGGAGATAACTGTGCCAATCCCGTTGTGGCTTTTGTGGCCTCTCTTCTGCCAAGTGCCGTCGAACATAACAGCCACATCAGTTTCGCCTGCTACTTCTTTCGTCAACTCTCTGGATCGGCGCAAGTTTTCACTCTTAGCTGCCATGGCAGCGATGTGCACCTTCTTTGCTATCGAAAAAAATCCTCGGTGGTGCATTGGCTTTGGGAGTCCAATAATGGAGCAAAATCTCGACAATTGCGCATGCCCAATGCCGACAGCGCGTGCAGCCACCACCGCCTTCACATTTACAGCGAAACTATCTCGGGAGCTCCCACTGTCATACTGTTGGCTCACTCGGCTGCTGCCGTCCGCCGTAACACGCAGTGACGTATAGGAGTACGAAAGAAGTGGGCATTGGAGTGGGCATTGGATCGCAGCAGTGTGCCGGCGGCTGACAACCCCCTTTGTCTTTTTGTTCAGCTGGCTGCAATCCTTGGAACGTGCCCTGCTGCCTGCGCGGATCGACTGCGACTGCCTCCTGAGATCGACGCATGTCCCTTGTTTGACTCGTCACCTTGCGTCGACCATGATTGGCCGCCTTACGCAACATTGAAACCCTACTACGCAGAAGCCAGTGTGACATCGTCATCAAGGCAGACGGACCATATAACCGGCTGGCGGAACCCTTCGCCCTTCAGTGGGCATTGGATCGCAGCAGTGATGCCGGCGGCTGACAACCCCCTTTGTCTTTTTGTTCAGCTGGCTGCAATCCTTGGAACGGGCCCTGCTACCTGCGCGGATCGACTGCGACTGCCTCCTGAGATCGACGCATGTCCCTTGTTTGACTCGTCACCTTGCGTCGACCATGGTTGGCCGCCTTACGCAACATTGAAACCCTACTACGCAGAAGAAGCCAGTGTGACATCGTCATCAAGGCAGACGGACCATATAACCGGCTGGTGGAACCCTTCACCCTTCAGTGGGCATTGGATCGCAGCAGTGATGCCGGCGGCTGACAACCCCCTTTGTCTTTTTGTTCAGGTTGGTCCCGCCCCACCCCTTTTTTCTAAACGCTCAAACAACCTCTTTCTGCTGCTGTTCCCATGCCCAAGTGTTCTTATCTGCTCCGTTGTGGAGTGTGTTTTTGTTGCTAAGATGTTGTTGGTCAGTGGAGACGTCGAGCTCAACCCTGGTCCCCCGAAACAAGACCCTAGCAAACAGAGCAGTGACGTTCTTCTGGCTATTCAAGATTTAACAAAACACCTTGACCAACGGCATGACACCCTCATTAAATCCATAGACGAAGTGAAAGAAAACCAAAAGTTACTTGAGTCCAAAGTGTTAGATTTGACCACTCGGCTAACTGATCTAGAAAAACGAGTCGATTCGTGTGAAGAATTTCTAGACGGCTCTCACGTGCAGGAAATGATAGCCACCGCCGTTCGAAGTGAACAGGCTTCGCTCCGAGCACGTCTGGATGAGTTCGAGGATAGGTCTCATCGTGAGAACCTGATTTTCTACAGAATTGAAGATTCAGCGTCAGAAACTTGGGCCGATTCTGAAGAAAAGGTCCGATTGATTCTTACCTCTACGTTAAACTTGCAGCTACCCGACGATGCTATCGTGCGTGCTCACAGGCTAGGAACGTTTTCGCGGCATAAAACTAGGCCCGTGATAGCACGTTTCACTTCTTCCAAAACTAAAGATAGTGTTTTGTCTCAGAAGTCTAAGTTTCGTGACACAAATACATCAATCTGTGAGGATTTCTGCAAGGCTACACGCGCCACCCGGAAAAAACTAATCGACTTCACCAAGTCGACTGGTCACAAATTTTCTCTTAAGGGGGGACGCGGCCTTTGAAAACCGAAAAATCGCGAAAAAGTCGATTTTTGGCAAACCACATATTCGGGCAGTATGTGTCATAAACTACCTTTTCTGTAAATATCAACGTCTAATTCATCGCGAAACCATTTGAAATAAAGTTTAGAACATGCCGCGGCGGCCCTCGAGCGGCGCGCGAGCGCTCAAAATACCCCAACTTGGCGTGATCGCAGTTTCTCGACCGCTCGACGGAGCGCCGCCATTTTGGTGTTGTTTTGTTTGTGAATTCTTGCTCTTTCTTTCCCCGCCACCTGCGTCGCCGGCGGCAGCGCAGGAGAGGAGCAAGCCGCTCATGATTGGAGGGCTCGCGAGAGCTTTCAAGTTTCCCGCGGCTGAGGCGCGCAGCTGGGATTGGGCGAAGCGCGCGCTCCCCAAGGACGCGGGGGAGCCCGCGACTGCCATTGGCTGCTGCGCGCGATGAGGTAGCGCTCTTGTGCATAATGCGGCCGATGCGGCCGCTCGTCTGCTGCTCCTCCGTCCGGCGTCTTTGTGTTCCGCTCGCTTCCGTGTATCGTTGCAGCCGTTTGCATACTCTCCACGTTTCAACTGTCTTCGAAACGATTTTCAACCGTCTTTACGAGACGATTTTCAACCGTCTATACGAGACCGTTGTTGTGTTCGCTCACGATGCGCCCAACGAAAAAGAAGACGCTATAATCGTTCGGTGCAAGGAAGCGAGCTATGAAGCTTGTCCGCGCGGCGAGGCTCTCCGCTCGCACGTGCGCCGACGGTGATCGCGCCGACGGTACCTGTGGGGCAGCTTCTGCTTCATCTACGCAAGAGAGTGGTCGCATCGGCGCGCCTAGCAACGGGACTCCTGCTCCGCCGGTGCAAGAATTTGTCGTTACAAGTGCGCCTGGTGTCTCGTGCTCATCGACAGTGGCTTCCGCATCTTCTCTTTCATCGGCCTCGAGTGCGATCGCGTCGTCAACTGTGCATTTGCGAACAAGTTTCCTGACGTGCGAGGAGAAAGAGGCGGCGGATCAACAACGTGCTGCTGTGCAAAGAGAACTTGGCGCTATGCCAGCGACGGAGCGGAAATTTCAGGCAATGGAGCGCGATCATGAAGCTGCCACCGCTACAAGTGAAGGCAAAAAATTTTTCCTTGTGCAAATGGATGCCCTAGACGGCCTGCTATCTCGGACCCCGTGCCACCGGTGCACCGCGATTGGGATGAAGGTACGAGGAGGCACCCAACTTGGACTTGCTGCAAAGCTTGAGCTAGTATGCTTGCATTGTGGAGTAGTTTCAAGCTCATGGAGTTCATCTCATCAGGATGACACAAAGGCCTTTGATGTGAATGTAAGAGCCATTATGGCAACAAAACAAATAGGCAAGGGACAAACAGCTCTCAACGACTTTTGGGCAGCGATGAACGTGTCCCATC